TATGTTAAGAAGGAAAATGCAGAATTCATGAATTAGGATAGAAATCGAGAGAATGAATGATATAAATTATATAATAAAATCATAAATTGTTCATATTCTCATTTGAAGAAAAATAAATTCAAATTCAATCTAGCCGTTTCTGTTGATGATTGATTGGTTAGATAGCAGTATGTTAAATGTGAATTATATTTCCTTATCTTAAAATAGTAAGATTAGAAAGGAAAATAGTAAATATAAGAAGCTTAGGCAAAATTACATTTTGGATCCAATCAGTTATATGTTTTGAATAGTGATTTCTAAGTTTCTCCGTCATACTGTTATATTAGTTTCAAAATTTAATTTTCTTATTTGAATTTGCGTAGCTATTTTATGCTTAAGTACTGTCTGCTTACTTTACTTCACTTTATTTTATATCTGAATTTTTAAACAAAGTGATTTTTTTTCTGCGTTATATGTTTGTTTTTCGTCTTTTGGTTAATGAATGAATGTGCTTTTTTTATATAATTGAATTAGTTCTGGTATTGGCTTTAAAATTGTAATATTTCACATGACTCGTCTTATATATGAGGATAGAGAATTCACATTCATAAAACTATTAAACATAATTCAAAAATTCTTAAAAATGCTTAAATACATATACGAGTCAAACCATTCGAATAGCCCCTTTATAAGTTCGCAGCTTTCTTAGTTTGATTCGCACAAATATAAAAAAAAATAAAAGTGCGTATACATATATAAGTCAAACCGTTAATAAAGATAATAAAGGGTGTTTTTTTAGAGGTATAGAACTTTAAATTGCAGTAAAACAACGATGTATTATTCGATTGACATGAATTTCTTTTTATTCGAAAGATAATCTTGTGGTATTACATTTTAAATATGATCAAGCAAGGCGTAGATTCGTCGAATGGGCCCAAAACGAGATTGCCGTTGTTCCCGATTTTCATAAGCGAATTTTGTTTAGCGATGAAGCGCACTTCTGGTTGAATGGCTACGTCAACAAACAAAATTGCCGCATTTGGAGTGAAGCTAATCCACAAGTGTATGTCGAAACACTGTTACATCCAGAAAAACTGACTGTTTGGTGCGCTTAATGGGCTGGTGGAATCCTTCTTCAAAAACGATGAAGGCCACAACGTTACAGTCAATGGTGATCGGTATAGAGCTATGATTACTAACTTTTTCATTCCTGAATTGAACAATCATGTTGTCCAGGAGCTGTGGTTCCAACAAGACGGCGCAACATGTCACACAGCTCGTGCCATAATCGATTTATTGAAAGACACGTTTGGTGATCGCCTAATTTTACGTTTTGGGCCTGTGAATTGGCCTCCAAGATTTTGTGCTTTAACACCGCTAGACTATTTTCTGTGGGGCTATGTATAGTCATTGGTCTATGCGGATAAGCCACAAACGCTTGACCATTTGGAAGACAACATTCGCCGTGTTATTGCCGATATACGGCCACAAATGTTGGAAAAAGTCATCGAAAATTGGACGTCCAGATTGGACTACATCCGAGCCAGCCAGGGCAGTGCTATGCCAGAAATCATATTTAAAATGTAATGCCACAAGATTATCTTTCGAATAAAAAAAAATTCATGTGAATCGAATAATACATCGTTGTTTTATTGCAATTTAAAGTTCTATACCTCTAAAAAACCACCCTTTATTTATAAGTAATCGTTTATATTAAATAAACTCAAAATTATATTTATATTATAACTAAAAGAACCCCTTGTCTGCCTAATGGTGGACCAACCCCTATTGTATAAATTATATAACTGTTCATACTCATTGTTCAAATTGGGTTGTTGTTGCGTTGTTTCAAATCCCCTTGGAGCAGGATAGCCTACACCAAGTCCATTTGACCTTTCCGCGTAATAGTGTCACACACCAGGTCTTGCTCTTCATACAACTGCCGTAGGGAAATGCCCCAGCAGTCCAGAAGATGAGCAGGAGAAGCAGGGACAGGTAAAGAAAGACTTTACCCCCTACACAAAAGTCATACTACTCACATGGCCGCTTCTAAAGCGCGTCAAGGCCGTCTGATGAGCCCTGGAACTCCTGCACTGTATAGATAGGCCAGGACTCTTAGCTGCGTACCAGTGCTGAACAGAAGGTTTTCGTCAAGTCAAATTCATTTTATTTCTTTGGAAGGAAGGAATTTCCGAATGGGTTAAGACAGTGGAACTGGGGTTAGAGAGATCACAACCCCTACCAGCCAGCTCATCAGTTGCTTCGTTCCCATGCACACCCACATATGATGGAATCCCCTGGATACATACTTGTTGCCTCTGACCAAGCCAAACTAATTTGGATAAAATATCTAGACCAGTACTGTCCATAATGTTTGGCCAATTCTTCAAATATTGGAAGGATCTTCTGCTGTCTGTCAGGATCCAGATACTGTCCTTATAAGAGTTGAGAGCATGATCGAGAGTACCTCTAATAGTAGTGAGTTCCGATCTAAAGACGAAACTCAAATAGTAAAACTATAATTTACATGTGTTTTGTAGATCAACTTATTTTCAATTCCTACTATTAGTTCAGTTTCGTCTGAAATCAAATTCCATGTTTAAAAAATTTCGTTACTGGCATTTTTACTTATATTGCTTGATAAACTTTCCATTTTAATCAATTCCAACTTTTTCCTGGTTACAATACATTTTTAAATCCATATTGAACTAGACTGGAAATCAATCAGAGTAGCATTTCAAATTCTTCAACTTTCGTCCAATCAAATTGGGACAAGTTCGTTTTATCAAATGAAATCACACCAGGGTACATAATTCACTTTTCTTTTTCGTTTCCGATAAATCTTTGAAAATCTTGCTGAAAATCTAAACCATTTTGATTGGTGGCGTGCCCAAAATATTGCATCGCGAGTCATCAGAGGTACACGTGCCATTGGTTCGCCATCCCTGCTCTAGGAGGATCTTTAGGGCTTGTACAAAAACACATAGTATACTCTTGTGATCTTAGTTTCTTTTTTTTTTTAAATTTCATTGCTGTATATTTTGTGCATATATATTTTATTCGTAACTGGCTGCAAAATTTGCAATACATCGTCACTTTTAACTATTTTTGCACGTTCATACAAAGCCTCACCATCATCACAAATGTAAATTTATCCAAACTGTCGTTTTGTTTCTTTCTGTTGTAAAGACGTATTTGCTTTTATTAAGAATACCTTATGTATAAATAAATTTACCACAGAATCAGGAAAAACATTCTTTATGTATAGAGGTAAGGATTATATATTTATAATTATATCTATATACAATAAAATAATATTAAACCATTTTAATACATATACATAGTTCAATATTATTTCAAAGAACTACAAGTAGAAATTTTCAGTCAGTAGTAATAAGGCTTTGTGTATAAAAAATGCCAAAACAATGTTTATACTGCGATGAAGAATAATTGTATTATTTTTATATATATATATAGTTATAACATATATTTTTATAATTATATATATACATATAGTATGATAACATATATCAAGAATATACATAAACATATATATATACAGATACATATATATGGAAAAAAACGCAACAGAGAAATACATATACAACTTCCCTAAATGAGAAACAAACATAGGGTCATATATATAACTTAGAAGGTCATACAGATATATATATATATTTCAAAAATATGACAGTGATATTTTTTATATATATGAAAGATATATGTTAGGCTTTAAAAAGAAATATAAAAAAAAAATCATATATATATAAAAGTTTTTTTTAGATCAAAGATCAGGTTTGAAAAAGTTTAAAAGCATTTTTTATTATGTCAAAATTCAAGTAAGTAATAAATAAAAATAGAGTGAAATATTTACCATCATAGCGTAGTCAGTAGAAATAATTTGTGGGTAAATAAGCATATTTAAAGGAAGAGCGAGCGCTGACGAAGGAAAACCACAAGATGTATGCGTAATGACGACATACGTAATGCTCTTAAAATTAAAAGTTTCAAATCTCATATTCAGAATATTGCAATTAACTTTTTTAACGAATTAGAAACAACCAATAATATCAACATGCAAAATTTATCGCATTATACCCCTAATGACAAAACAAAGAAACCAAGAAGAATTCTTCTTGATTTCTACAACCCCCGTAATTCTATTTTCTCGTGCAATAAGTTTTATTGCACACCATAATTGCTAAAATTTTACTTTCTTTAATTTTTATCAATATTTTTCTCTTGCTCTCCCCACTGGACTTGCTCCTTCCCATTTTTTAAATCTCAGCCCCCAGGGTAGCCAATTAGAGTCAATATTCACTGTACCCTGCATCCAATCAGAGAGCAACCTCTTAGCTTTCAGCCTAGCCAAAACACTCTAAAACTCTCCACCCAGATGAAGAACCTAAGCCACGCCTCCCGGATTCCATCGCTCGACCAATCACCAACATGCCACTCAGCAGAATGGAAAACACCACTTTCGTCATAGACTTTCACGATATGGGATTGAGGACTGTTCTTACAGTCCGGACGCCCAAAGAACAACGCCTATTCGACCTATTCATGACGAAGGAAAACGCATACTCGATCAGGCTTAGCTGGTGACTCCTCGCCGAAGTGTTGTTTATGGTTCTACTCGGTTGCGCGCCAAAGAGCCGCCATGTTGGATTTCATGTGATTGAAGCAAAATAAAGAAGTATTATAGAGATGATGCCCTCCTCATTTTACCAGCAGGCCTGGGACCTGACATATATATATATATATATATATATATATATATATATATATATATATATATATATATATATATATATTGTTCAAATTTTCAATCGTTAATAAAATACTTTTTATTCCTCCAATCAAGTTCAAATACATTTTTTAAACTTGTAGTGGATGACACTTGATGTTAATACAGTTTTTTTTAAATATTAATTCATTAATCTAATTTAATGAATGCATAAATAGTAGCAAAGAAAAATGATAGCCCAACACCATATATAAAAAGGAAAATCGCTCGCTATGTCCCTCTAGCGCAATGGATAGCACTTTGGACTTCTGATTCAAAGGTTGTGGGTCCCAATCCCACATGGGATGACCTAATTTCTGAGAATGTGATTTCTTTTTTACTATACTATTTTATTGGATTAATTAAATTTAATTAATGAATAAATAGTAACAAACAAAAATAATAGTCCAACACCAAATATAGAAAGCAAATTGATAAATTGTAAGGAAACTCCCTTTCTGTTTTGCCACTTAATATTGTGATTCTCGCATATGTAGATACATATTTATATTAATTGCAACTATTTAATAAAAAGTAACTGAAATAAAATTTTTCTTTGTTGACCCAAGTAGGAATTGACTTACATTTTTTTTATATTACTTGTTATTGGATTTTTTATGCTTGCGTGAGGAAATTCAAATTTTTTAGTATCTACCACAAAAATTTAAAATTCTTCTACATTCAGAAAACGTAAATTTTCCCTCTATCCGATACAACACCTCGAAGTTAACCTAATCCCCGCCAAGGGAACAATTGGAAGCAAAATAAAAGAGGGGGTGGGTTATGAACTTTTCTGTGTTGCCTGAAGGGTGGACAAGATCTAAATTAATATCCTAAGGTGGAAGGTGCCTCCGAGGGGTGCATCGGGCGTGGGGGTTACCTAGGCAACGGACGGCGGGGATAGAGAGAACATAGCAGGTAATATCCCAAGTCTAAGACAGACAAGATTTTTGCAGGGAGAGCATTTTTCAAAAATGAAATCGGCTATCTAAGCGAGTAAAGTTTTTGCCACCCCCTTTCCATTCTTTTTCCCTTAAAGAAGAATGCGAGTTAAGATGAGATGGGGAGGTGAAAATCAATTTGCTTGGCTACAAGTACGTGAGGGGTGGAATAGAATGTAATATATTCAGGTTTTTGTTCGATACTTTTAATGGTCTTCAACGTTTTTGCTTCCGTAGGTAAGAAATTGAGGGTTGAGTTTTTTTTTTTTATTTTTTTCGTTTTATAAATATTTTTGTGGGGTTCCTGGAGCTTAGTATTGGTGGCTTGGTTGGCAAGTTATTACATTTGATTTGATTTGATGAATGATTGTGGATTTTGAATTAAATTTTTGAAACTAGCTTTCGCGTTTTTGATTCAACTGTCTATGCAGATGTTTTAAAAAAATAAGAAAAATTGCAAGATTTTTTTTGTATTAGTTTGAAAAAATAAGTTAGATCACACACATATACAATGTTGCTTGCTGTAGAATCGGGATATTTTGGTTCAAGTTGTGCAGAAATTTTCTAACTACGTATCGCATGGTGTACGCTATTTTAAAAAATGCAGATATAATCTTATTACTCTCTCTCTCTCCATTTTTCTGAGATTTCTGTAATTCTTACCATCTATCTTTTCAGAATAACAATAGATTTTCGAGATTCACAAATTCTTAAATAATGTTCATCACCGTAAATTTTTCTTGTCAAAGAGATGGGATTTTGAATTGCGATTTAGTAGGTATTGTATTAAGAATCTCAATCCTTACTGAACCAGTATTCAGTCTGCGTGCATGGTAGGAACTTAGGCATTAAAATATTAATTTATTGAGAAACAAAAGATGAGTCACTGTTTTCGTAAAATATACTGTTCTGATAGGAAAAGTATAACATCGAGTACATAATACTAAGGAAAAAAAGATAGAATTTTTTTTGCCTGAATAAACGTTTACGCTAAAACATGCTTTCATTTGTTTAAAAACGTTCCAGTCGAGGTATCTATAAATAAATAAATCGAAGGTTTTTCTAAATATAGAAATTTCTTTAGTCTGTGATTAAATTTAATTATTTAAATTTAATAATTATTATTAATAAATTAAAAAACTAATTAATTATTTAAAACAAATTTACCGAATTTTTTTTCAAAACACATACACATGTTTAAAGTAGATTTACTCATTGTAACGGGTTCTACAGAGTGTTTTTTTTCCAGATATAGAAGTTTAAGTTGGCATTACATTCCAAGATGGCGACCGATTTAACAGCTGTCAAGTAATTTATTCACAGTTTGGTTTGGCAATTCATCATGAATAGACTCACGAATGAACAATGCTTTCAAATTGTGCAATTTTATTTCGAAAATAATGGTCGCGTGATTTTCATAAGCGAATATTGTTTAGTGACGAAGCGCACTTCTGGTTGAATGGCTACGTCAACAAACAAAACTGCCGCATTTGGAGTGAAGCTAATCCACAAGTGTATGTCGAAACACCGTTACATCCAGAAAAACTGACTGTTTGGTGCGCTTTATGGGCTGGTGGAATCCTTCTTCAAAAACGATGAAGGCCACAACGTTACAGTCAATGGTGCCATGATTACTAACTTTTTCATTCCTGAATTGAACAATCATGATGTCCAGGAGCTGTGGTTCCAACAAGACGGCGCAACATGTCACACAGCTCATGCCACAATCAATTTATTGAAAGACACGTTTGGTGGCCGCCTAATATCACGCTTTGGACCTGTCAATTGGCCTCCAAGATCTTGTGATTTAACACCGCTAGACTATTTTCTGTGGAACTATGTAAAGTCATTGGTCTATGCGGATAAGCCACAAACGCTTGACCATTTGGAAGACAACATTCGCCGTGTTATTACCGATATACGGCCACAAATGTTGGAAAAAGTCATCGAAAATTGTCGTCCAGATTGGACTACATCCGAGCCAGCCTTGTTAGTCCTATGCCAGAAATCACATATAAAATGTAATGCCACAAGATTATCTTTAGAATAAAAAAAATTCATGCCAATCGAATAATACATCGTTGTTTTATTGCAATTTAAAGTTCTATACCTCTAAAAAAAACACACCCTTTATTTGCGCCCTTCTACTAATTCTAAAGTGAAAATTCTTTTTATACATTATGGGTTGGAGAGCTTCTTTCTGTAAAGGAACCGCGAATTATGTCAATTAACAGAACAATTTAAAGCAGTGATTCTCAAACTTTCAATACATAAGACCCAACAATTAGCCATAGTTTTCATCGCGCCCCCCTTCAGACAAATAACAATGTATTGAAATCAATAACTTTGACACTAAAGCTACAATACTACACAACGACTTTTTTCTTATGTGCTATCGGCGTAAATAAACGTCATTAATTACCCAGGACGTATATATACGTCTTTCCGAAGTAAAATATTTTCTACACACTGCTATCCATAAAATTAACCCAAAGGCTTTGGAATGCAAAAAAAAAGGGATTTTGACAGTGTTTGCGGAGGATTTATCTATTTCATAGGATTTCATTATTTATTCCTTTTCCTCTCCTTCCCCCAATACATCCCATACGCTGGCCTACATGGAAAATGGTGGCATTGGGGAACGAATTGAATAACTTTTAATCGGCAGTTATGGGATTAATTATAAACAGTAAAAATTATCAAGATAAGTGTTAGTTTTTTCATATAACTTTATACATGACAAGCCCATGGGATCACTGGTTGTTATTAAAATGTTTCTTAACTTATCGTATTGTTAAATTAATTATAAAATACATTGTGCAGTACTGCTCATATAAGTGTATTATATCAGTACAAATGTTAATTTTATTTTTTATTATGTCAGAACGTATATTTTGTTTGTTTACTTTCAGTAAATCAATAATTTTTTTTTAAAACATAATCTTTTGTTTTTGATTTTTCAGTATGCTCGCGTCCCCCTTATAGACTTATCACGCTGCCTTAGAGGGCGCACACCACATTTTGAGAAACCCTGATTTAAAGTCATACGAATTGAATTCACGCAAGGGAGAGAGATCAAAAAGTAAGAGATATAGAAACTGAATGCGTAGTTTTTAGATTATAGAAAGGTTTACGTTTGAATAGTCAGTGTACCTGAAAAAAGGGGTGAAACACATCGTGGTGGCATTTGAGGAATCCAACCAGCATCTTTCTTAATTGATAAGTACTATTTTTTCTTTGTAAATATTTAGAGTAGACTAAAACTGACTTGCTTCCTCATCGGCTTTAGCACTTAACGTACACACTTTTTGAAAGAAAAAAACAACTAAATTTTTGTGTGAGCAGAGACAACATTTTAAAACCTTGTTTTGGCATTAAAAACCGAAAAAAATCCATCAAAATTATTATTTTAAGTTTGGAGTTTGTATCCGCATTGCAGATAAGAGCCGATTATTGCAATCTTGCATGTGCATCGACTTTTATTATTTTTTTTCTTTCGCTGTTTCAAAAAAAAGTATTTTTATCAGTAACAATATTTATTCATACTTTTTCAACAGAAATAATAATAATTGTTTTAAAAAACTATTTAAAACCTCCTTTTGTGGGGGACGCATTTGGAAACAAAGTGCAAAGCATTGCCCAACATTGCAATTATTACACCAGTAACGACTCTTTTTCTTTTTTCTTTGCTATCATTTTTAGCACAATACACTACGCAGTATCTTGTGAGAGTTTTTTTTTATTTTGATGGAACAAAACTAGGAAAATTTAAATTCCGGATGATTTTGGCCTTCGCGATTTTTTTTATTGCATCGCTATAATTTTGTACAAGACTTTCTACAAATTTACTTATGAAAAAAATTTTAATATTTTTCACGGCAATTTTTTTAATACAAAAAACATGGGCGTTCCAAATTCTGATGTCTAGAAATTGAAATAATATTTTTTTAGTAATATTTATCTGAATGTACTATAAACTTTATCTAAATTTATGAAATCATGACTTTTGATCGCAGTCAGTCTCGCAAGCGCAGATAGTGTTCGCTTATATTCGAGTGTGAAAATTACTTCAGCATAAAATAAGGCCTTGCTCGAAATATTTCGAGTGTGTCTTTTGGTCAATTTACTACGATCGAATTAACTCGAGCGCATAAGTTAAGGGATTAATTTGATAGTAATTGTGTTTACGAATTAAAAATGATTGCTTCTTTAATGATGGCGCTTCGTTCTATAAACCATTTACACCAACTGAAGTGGAATTTTGCTTCATGAAAATGAATGTATTAAAATCAATTGAGAATATGCAAAGGGTTTTAATCTTAGTTGTATCACTTTTTCGTTCACTAAGAAAATGAATATATAAAAGT